TGATCATACATTGGACCTTATTCTCAAATCATGTATTAGCAAAAAACATCATCTTCTGAAATGTATTATTTAACAATACTACTACCTAGTCCAAATATATACTCCTCACTTACATGCATAATGTGGATGTTTCTCTTTCTTACAAAACAATACTATCACACAAATATAACGAGCATCATCTTTAAAACAAGATATTTTGAAAAGCCAATCATGATAGTTATTGACATTTCAGAATGTTTCAACAAACGAGGTTTTTCTTCTGAACCCCTCCCCTCTCCTAAAAGACTGAAACACACAAAGTACCATCCAGTAGAATCTGTTAAAGCATCATCTTGAATATCGAAGTGTTTGGTTCATTAACTTATCACACTCTTAAACATCATGTAAGAAAAATCCTACACTAGTTTTATTTTACCTATACTGACACTACTCTTGAATTGACGTTATGTATACCAGTTAAACTTTAAGCATGTTAATACGTTTTAAGTATCTGCTTACATCTTCAGAATTTATTATATAACCAAGTGCATATTTTATAGGAATGATATGTCAACATTTACTTATTTTTGCAAACATATGAACAGCTGTTCGGAAAAATCAGGATACGCTAATTATCACAAGGGGAATTGTAAAAATCCCTTACAAAGAAAACAAGATAAAAGAAAGGAACTTGTAGCTACAGAAAAACGTGGCATGAATAATGCAAAAGATAAAAGTAGTTTTGAAAGTTAAATAGAAAATACCATAAGTGTAGTGAATGATCACTTGATCGAGTTCAAACACAAGCGTAGAGTGTTGTTGTTTGTTAACAAAGTTACATAATTTGGTCAGCATAACACACTAAGGTGTTTTTTAAGTGATACTGTTATTCAATAGACTTTTAGGTACCTCTGTTATTACCTGCACTCTAAGGTATTTTTAGGTTTTTACTGTTATTACATTCACACTGAGGTGTTTTTGTCAGGTGTTGTTGTTATTACGTTCACACTAAGGTGTTTTTATCAGGTGTTTTGTTAGATGTTGCTGTTATTGCGTTTGCACTATGGTATTTTAGGTGGTACTGTTACTACGTTCACACTAAGGTGTTTTTATCAGGTGTTGTTGTTATTACATTCACACAGAGGTGTTTTGTTAGATGTTGCTGTTAACGCGTTTACACTATGGTATTTTAGGTGGTACTGTTACTACGTTCACACTAAGGTGTTTTTATCAGGTGTTGTTGTTATTACGTTCACACTAAGGTGTTTTTATCAGGTGTTGTTATTATTATTACATTCACACTAAGGTGTTTTTATCAGGTGTTGTTGTTATTACATTCACACTAAGGTGTTTTAGATGATAATATTATAACATGACATACTAACATGATAATTACAATGTTTTAAAATAATTTAGTTTATTATGAAATGTAAACCTACAGTAGCAAGGTTAGCAAGAAATCAAACTCACCCAAGATACAAAGCATGAACATAGAAATAGATAGAAGTTGTGATAAAATAAACAACAAGTATAGCTTAAAGTTTAGACAGTATTAAAAAATATCAAGAAAATTAAAAACTACTAAATTTGTATCTCCACAAATACTTCCGGATATCTCAAAAATTACATCGCAGTAAAAATCGTTTGATTTTTTGTTTATTATTTTATTAAATTTCATGTCGAAAGTCGTATTCACACCTATTGTAAGAAAAAAATAACGTTTTATTCCATAGTAAGATTATG